GGGAGAGCTAAGAGTCAAGCCAGGGAATCTAAATACCAGTATCAAATCTCAAGAAATAGAAGTGAATTGTTTTTAATTATTATTAACAAATAATAATTATACATACTTATGGAATATAACATGATGTTTTAGCTTTGTGCAGTGGCAGGATTGTAGCCAATGAGGTTTATCTGAGGCATGATTATTGCTAATTGAAAACTTCCTAATACCCCACCATGACGATTTGCAATATAGTCGGCATTGGCAATTTCTGATGGTCCCTATGAGGACTGAATGAAAAAAAAAAAAAAGACAACATGATGTTTTGATACATATATACATTGTGTAATGATCAAATCAGGGTAATTAGTATATCTATCACCCTAAACATTCATCATTTTTTTGTGATGAGAACATTCAAAAACCTCTCTTCTAGCTATTTTGAAATATATAATGCATTATTGTTTACTCTAGTCATCCTACTAAAATAGAGCACCAGAACGTATTCCTATCTAACTATAGCTCTGTACTCGTTGGCCAATCTCTCATCACCCCCACCCCTTACCTTCCTCATCCTCTGGTGACCACTGTTCTACTCTATACTTCTATGAGAACACTTTTTAGATTCCACATAGGAGTGAGATCATGCAGTATTTGTTTTTCTGTGCCTGGCTTATTTCACTTAACATAACGTCCTCCAGGTGCATCCATTTTGCCACAGATGACAGGATTTCCTCCTTTTTTATGGTTGAATAGTATTTCGTATATATTGTTTCTATGTACCACATTTTATTTATCCATTCATTTGTTGATGGACATTTAGGTTGATTTTATATCTTGGCTATTGTGAATAGTGCTGCAATAAACATGGAAGTGCAGATACCTCTTCAACATACTGATTTCATTTCCTTTGGATATATATCCAGTAGTGGGATTGCTGAATCATATGGTAGTTCTATTTTTAATTTTTTGAGAGACCTCTATACTGTTTTCTGTAATAGCTATACTAATTTACATTCCCACCAGCATGTGGAAGGGTTCTCATTTCTCCATATCATCACTAATACTTGTTACCTTTAATAAGAAACAGAGCCAAGAGTCAAGATCCAAGTGAAGGTAATTAGAAAGGGAACATGTAGGAAGGGTACATACTGATTATTGCAAATAGTCTTTGACTGTTTCATACCAGTTTTGTGGGTTTATGCTTAGATTTGCTTAAAGTACAGAGACAGGTCAGCCAGAAACTGAGTAGTTTTAAAGTAGTAAGAGAGTGACTGCAAGGACAGGAAATGAAACATTGTGCCTGCAAGAAGAGTGACAACAGAGATCCCAGATGGGATTTCTCAATGTTTTAAACCTATGCCAAGTTGATTGAGATACATATGAAATTGTGTATATGTACTTGATAAATAATTTATAGTCTGAAATTTCTTCATATTGTAGTAGAAAATAGTGGAGTATTTGAATAGATATTCTAAATAGGCTGTATTCCATGGCTGCTGTCTGGGAAAGATACTGGAAAAGGAAAAAAGTAAGGAAATTCTTATGAATTTGGGGTCTAAATCCATGGAAGAGAATTTTCTTCCCTTTTGATCCCTAAGGATGATGGTAGTAAATTATTAACCCAGAAGAGCAACAGTAGGAATCCCTCTCGGAGAGCTTCCTGCTTGAGAGCTACCTGGGAGGTTCTGCATATCATCATAGTCCCTATTCAGTGTGCACAGTAGAATTTTTATTTTATTTATTTATTTTTTGAGACAGAGTCTCACTCTGTTGCCC